CGCCAAGTCAACTTATCCATGGGTCAATGCAAGTACTGTACTTTAACTCCTATTTTAAAAAAGGAACCATCCCTTGGTGGAAGGCAAGAGTGTAATCCAGGGGTCGGCAACCTACGGCCTGCGGGCCGCTTCCGGCCCAGGTTGCCTGACTTACGGGCCCAGGTGGACCCCTGCCACCGTGGCCGCCGCCGCCGGCCGGTTCGGCCACCGCCTGGCTGCACGCACTTCGACCGCCATTTTGGTCTCCAAAATGGCGGCCACAACACGTTTGCGCATGCACAGGATTACTGCACATGCGCAAACGTGTCACGGCCGCCATTTTGGAGACCAAAATGGCGGCTGCGGTGCCAGGAGTGCGCGCAGCACCCGGGAGGAGGCCCGTCGCCTCATCTCCCGTCACCTCCCTGGAAGCCAGTCGCCACCGAGGGAATCCACCGGCCCCCACACCATTCCCCCTCCCCGGCCCCCCAGCAACATAGGCAGCGGGGGCGCGCGCGCGTGCGCGCGCACCGCAATCCCCCCCACACACCTTGGCCCAGCTGAGACCTGGGCTACGGGAGACCGGCCCAGGTCTCAGAAAGGTTGCCTGCCCCTGGTGTAATCTGTCCTGGAAGCACTGACTCCTCTCTACTTTCTCATCTATCCAAACTTCAGTGTGAGTACAAATAGTTATGCTGGCTGGAATTGTTTAAATTATTTGCCATTGTTTTCCTTTGTTTTATCCTTTAGATCAGGGGTAGGCAACCTTTTTGAGCCGGGGGCCGGGTTGCTGTCCCTCAGACAATTGGGGGCTGAAGCACCATAAATAAACAAATAAATAAAATTAAAATTAAAATTACAAAATTAAAAATAAAAATAAAAAATAAAAATATGCATGCACACTTTCTCAGCCCCAGAAAAACCATGCAAAACCCCTGTGGAGATTTTGCCAAGAAAACCCCAAGAACAAGTAATAACAACAATAATCAATATCATCATGGCAGGCAGCGGCGGCGGGACTGGTCTGGGGCTGGTCCTAAGGCCTTGGGGGGCCACATCTGGCCCCCGGGCCTTAGGTTGCCTACCCCTGCTTTAGATCCTTTGCTGCATACACCTATGTTTTACCCTCAAGATATCCACAGATCATATCATAATCCACAATTTGGGATCCAAAACCTGTCCTTGACTTATACATGAGGTCGATTATTGGTTGAGTATATACAGTAATAAATGACTATATGTTATATTATCTCTCATATTTACTATTAATTCTATCAATATTAATTCACAATGCAGTCAACCCTCCATATCCACAGATTCTTCATCCACAAATTCAACCAACTACTGCTTGAAAATATTTTTTTTTAATCCAAAAATATTTTGTCATTTTATATAAGGGACACCATTTTACTACACCACTGTATATAAGGGAACTTGAGTAGCCAATGATTTTGATATCCATGGGGGTTCCTGGAGTCAAACCTCAGAGGATTACCAGGGCCCCAATGTATAATTTCTCTCAACAGTTCTTTCCTAACGTTTCTCTCCAACCCCAAGGTCCCTATTTGCATGTTTCACCTTAACTCATAACACACTATTGTAAACCTTATTTTGGGTTCTCCTTTTCTCAGCCAATCCTCCACCTATATGCAAATGCACTATGTGTTAATCATTCAACACTTGGCAGTCACTATGTATGCTCTGGAATAACTTTCAATATAAACACATTTTCAAAAGTTACACACCTATAAGATGAAGAACAGTGAAAGGATTCACCAGATTTCTCCTGAAAATGGATTGTTCAGGTAAGATGAGGTATCAAAATCTAACAACTCACCTACACAGCCTCGTTCATCCTGGAGATATTGATAACCTTGATAACAAAGGCAGCGGAAAAAGCCAGGTGAATTTTCACAGAAACCATGATTGCCACACACTGTACTATTGAAGCATTCATCGATATCTGAAAATAAGAAAATAAGACACATTAGTGTCAGATAGATATGATACAATTGCAGGTTTAATAATTTGGAGACAGCATCCATTTTTGGAAAATCTTTAAAAAGGTTCCTCTGTGCATTTAAGCACACACCACAGAAAAACAAGAACATTCCAAAATCCCTTGTAATAGATATTTTTCTGCCAGGGATGGAGAATGTGGGGACTTCCAGATGTTGTTTTACTACATTTCACATCATTCTTCACCATTAGCAATGCTGAGGTGGTTGTAATCCAACACCATCTGGAAGGCCATACATTCCCCATCCTTATGTTAAATGGTCAAGTGTAGTGGTCTAAGGCAGGTTCTACAGTTAAAATATTGTGATACATACCTCAGTCAATTATTATTCAGAAATACTATTCCACAGTTTTGGAGTCCCTTTAGCTTCTTTGTAAATTTGTTTAATGCTTCTAAAAACTTTTTAGTTTTAAAATTATTATGTGAAATGAAAGCAGGAGCCAAGAAACAGCACAGAGTATAATAATAATAATAATAATAATAATAATAATAATAATAA